GGGCGGGCCGGCGCGGTGTGCCTTTCACCCGGAAACCCACGGACGTGAACGGTGGGGCGTTCCCCGGGCCGGGCCGGACGCGGTTTAGCTGTTTTCTGGGCTCGCGCGTGGCGCCGCCGTGGTCTCGCGTGGGCGTCTGTGCGACAAACGCCGTGGGCTGTCTGCGGGGCTCGGGGAGCCCGGCCCCGGCGGGCGGGGTCCGTCACGGGTGCGTGTGCTGACCCGCTGTGCCGGAGGGGCTCAGGGGTCCCGGGACCCCCCCCGCCCCGGTCCTCTCCAAAACCCACCAAGCCGCAGCGAAAAATGAATAAAATCCCAGTTTAAGGTACTCGACCCACTCCCACGAGCACAGAACAGTATTTATTCAAGCCACCCACAGCCTGGGACCTCAGCGTGTCAGGCCTTGGGCCCTTAGGCCCTGTGGAGGCTGGTCGGTGGGTACAGGCAGGGTCTGGCGGGGGGGCCAGGACCCCCATTCCGACCCGTCCCCTTCGGCGTGCGGGTCGCCTGAGGTTCTGCAGCAAAACCGTGGGCCTTGTTGTTGATTTGTGCCTCTGGCACCGCTGCAGTAGAGAAGCATTGAAGGAGAGGAAGGCGGAGATGCCTCTCGAGTCCAACACATCCTTTTGAGGTGTGTTCACATCTGTCCGCATCCCCGTCGCGACATATTGCGTGCATCAGCTTACAGCCCTCCTGTCTCCTCTTGCTCTTTGCAGGCTGACGCAGGTGAGATGGAGTCGCTACAACCCCAGTTTCGTGGAGCCAGAAGTGAACAAGGAATTGTATCGGAAACCTTGGGACGAGCTGACTGAGGAGGAAAAGGAAAAACTGGAGCTTAAGGCTGTTCAACCCATAAAAGCTGCTCCTCCTGCTGTCTCCACCTCTGTGTTCAGCGACCCTCTGATCAGGTCAGAGAAAGCATCATCTCCTTCTCTGTTACAGCTAGGTCCCATGGAGCCAAAACACTTGGGAGCTGTGCTGTCCTCCTCAGCCTTTACTTGCTGCGCTGCACGTTGCCTTCTGTTACAGCACAATCCCTTTATTCCGGGTTAATCTTCTCCCACAAAGCCAGTCCATTGATTGACAGTGATTAGAGATAATTACAGCAGATCTAGCAGCACCCAGATTTAACCATGGGCACAACACAAAGGGGGGCTTATTTCTGTGGGTGATAAAATCAGAATTTACATCAGATCGCATTTGGCTTTGTGTTTACAGTAAATTCACCAATATGATGATGAAGGATGGAAATAAAGTGCTGGCCAGAAGCCTCATGGCTCAGGTAAGAACTCATGTTTCTTCTCACCATTACATTAAAACAATGCAAAATGGAAGGCTGGGACATCAAGCCCACTGGAATTAGGAATTACTAGAGCTCAGGTCATCTCTGTGGTCCTAACACATCCCTCACCACACACATTACTCTCACCATTATTTATCTGATAAGACGTGCATTCTGTACAAGCCCCAACCTCATTCAGCTCACAGACCAGGTGGTGATAGCTTAATGGAGAACATTCTCTTTCCACTCTTCAGTATCTCTTGGACCTTATGTACCACATAAACTCAGAGAATACTCTTAAAAGCATAATTTTCTCAAAAGATGTTCCTTCCAGCTCTCTTTCATGCCTTATCTTCTGTATAACTTGCCTATGAAGTCCCACAAATGTGTCACCTACATGACACAGCTTTGACCCCTGCTCTGACCTACAGTAACTGGTATTAGCTGGTGGTCCCATCTGGTGTGTTCCACCCTTGAAACAGGGACGCAGGTTGCCCAAATGTTCCCGAAGTAACTGCTGATTGCTTGTGACAGAAAAACACGCAGGCTCTGGGCTCTCGAGTCCAAGCTTTGGAGGGCAGGATGCTTACTGCACACACACCTGTATTCCTGTCTCCACTTTGTCCCTGCCCTTCCCTGCCTTCTGGCCGAGGTTTGTGCTACTCTGCCTCCTCACCCCAAATGCAATGTCTGATAAAGAGACTGAAGAGTTGGAAAAGAGTGAAGTAAAACTTGAGTTAGAGAATCCCTGACTAGCCTGTTGCCTATAGGGCTAGAAAACCAGCTGCTCAAGTGAAAATGGGGTGCTTGTAAAAGTGGTGTAACTTCCTGGAGTGGGATAATCCATCTGCTCTGCATGTCTCCTTTCTTGTCTTTGTCCCAAGACTCTAGAGGCCATTAAGAGGAAGCAGCTGGAGAAGTACCACAAAGCTCCAGAAGATAAGAAGGAGACAATTGAATGCAACCCTTATGTCATTTTCCACCAGGCTCTGAAAAACTGCCAGCCCATCATTGGGCTCAGCAGCATCACAAAAGGAGGCAAAACCTACCAGGTGAAAGGGGGGGCCTGGGAGCATATCTGGTCAGGAGAGAATTAGCTAGGGAAGCAGATGAACTGGTTTTCACCCCTTCAGCTCAAGTTTTCCTCTCCTTGGAAGGAGAGCCACTTTGCAGTCCGGATTAAAACCGCACCTAGAAACCCTGTCCAAGATCAGGGCCTCAGCCTGTGAGCATGGTAATTCCCCTATCAGCAGCAGTTTCTACTTCTCTGACTAGATAAGAAGAGGAGTACGCAGCAAATGTTGTTCGAGGATCAGTGATGGGCAGCAAAAGAGTTGGCAGTCCCAGGACTACCAGTCCCATCCTCTCTGCTGCATCATGTTGCTTGGGTAGAGGTCCCAAAGCCCTGGGGTGGGTCAGCATAGCAGAAAAGGTCAGCTAGATTCTGTGCGATATTTAAAACAGAAGCAGAACCTGGCTCTAAGTATGGGCTCTGCAACACTCAAGACCTGATGGAGAAATAAAATGTGGAGGCATTTCACTGTCATTCAGTGCAGGGGAGTGGTGACCATCTCCCATCTCTGCTAGCACAAACCAGCCTGGATCCAGTTCCCAAATAGGCCAGAAGTCCTTACAAAGGCCAGTGTCTGCCAGCAGTACCCAAGGCTGATCAGAATTTCTGTTTTGGTAGCAATGGCCAGTTTCTATGGACACAGGAGGTGAATTGGCACAGATCAGCTGTTGGGAGCTGGTCTTACTGCAGAGAGCAGCATGCTGCCACTGGAGTTGCAGCACGGTGTAAATCTGCACGTGTCCAGCTGGATCTGTATGACTGCTGGAGAAGAGCAGGTTACTGCACTCTTGCAGTGTGATAACGGTTACGGTTTAAACCTTTCCCAGGTCCCAGTCCCTCTGAAGGACAATCGGAAGCGCTTCCTGGCCATGAAGTGGTTAATCACCGAGTGCAGGGAGAACAAGAACCGTCGGATGCTGATGCCCGAGAAGCTCTCCCAGGAGCTGCTCCAGGCCTTCAACAATGAAGGACCCATCATCAAGAAGAAGCACGTGCTGCACAAGATGGCAGAGGCCAACCGGGCTTACGCCCACTTCCGCTGGTGGTAAGGGACTCTGTGCATGGGACACAACGCCACCAGCCCCGTGGCCTGGAGAGCAGAGGCCCAGGGCCACCTGCCTGGCAGAAGCTGGGGAGAAGAGGGAAAGGTGGAAGATCCCTTCCAGACAGCTTCTGAACTAAGCCAGGGAAAGCTCATCCGATCCCCACAAAGTTAATTTCTCTTGTGCCTGTTTGGGTGGCGGAAGGGGGAATCTGAAAGAGTTACTGACCCCTGCACCGATACTCTATAGTTATTTCATAATCACTTTCCTGTGAAGAGAAGCCTTAGATGTTTTTCTTAGAGCAATGCTGTACAAAATAACCTTCCACTTACCTGTTTCCTGGGGACTTTTAAGTCTCTCTGCTCCTGTAATCAGCCATGTTTTTCCTTTTTTCACTGCACAGCTAAGAGCAGAGCTGGATTTTTTTCCATACTGTAATCAGCCTTAGGGTGATTGGTACAAAATGCAATAAAAGGCCCTTTTTGATTTTTGGTTCTGGTCATCAGCAACATTGTCTGCACAGATCTGGTGGGAATGTTAACAGAAAAAATAAAGCCAGTTTTATGGAGAACGTTTCTCGATTGCAAACCTTTGTCTCTGTTGCTCGAATCTCGCACTGCTCTTTCCTACTACCCTGGTTGTATAAAGACACACTGACACCCTACACCAGAGGAGAAAATGACTATTGCAGCCTTAAGGCTTCAGTCAGGAGCAACCTTGAAGTATTGTTCATAGCTCAGTAGCTGTGTAGAGAGAAAGCAGGGCACATGTTAGTGGAAAGCTTTTATTAGAAAAAAATCCTTCAATAAACTATTTTGTTTCCTTTCTTCCTCTCCCATTCTTATAAGAAACATACCATAGTTGAAACCCGCTAAATTCTGAAAAAACATGACAGTTATTGTATAAAACTTATAAAACCTGTTCCTAGCTACATGTGCTTGGGGACCTTCCTGCTGCAGGCTGCTCTGTGGCAGGTATTGGTGGCTCGTGACCCGTAGGGGAGGCTGTGTGCATGCAGGTGCAGCCAGCGTGCTAGAAGGAGTCTGTGAAAAAGAGCACTTGGTTGAGCTGTTTGTGAGGCCACAGTGTTTTCTGTGACTTGTCCCAGAGAACCAGTTACAACCTGAGCTGTGAAAGATTTCCCCTCCGCCTCCCGCAGCTCCGCTGGCTCTCAGGTGAACCAGAATGTTCTCAGCCTAAACTGTGCTTTCCTTAACACCCACATAAAATGCTGGTTTGAGCTAGAAGCCTTCCTTGCCCTTTGCTGGCAGCAGCCCAATATTAGACAAAATCAGTGGGACAACTTGCTGAGTTAAATATGCCCTGCCCTTCCCAACTCTCCAAACCTCCACAGTCAGGCTAGCACCAGTTGCAGCCTGACAGTTAACGTGCCCAGAGGCTCTAGCCAGTATAAATCCTATTTACAGGAAGTGCTAGAAAAACATTAACGTGAAAAGAAATTCAAACTTGGTAAGAAGCTTGCTGGTGAAAGTGCTGGGGACATCTCTCCACCTCTGCTGTAGAGAGGTTAATCCATCACTTCGCTGTAATAGTATTTCTGGGCAGCGTCCGTCATCTTCCAGTCGGCAGCCCGAAACTCGATGATCTCCAGCAGTAGGAGCTGGGACAGGGAGCTGAGCCCCTCCTGCAGAAGGAAGCCGTCTCGGAGGAGGGAGAAGAGCTCATCCATCCGCTGGGAGTTCATATTCTCCAGCTGCTCACCGATGCGATGGAGCTGTAGGACCAAGCAGTCCACCTTCAGAAGGAAGAAAAGATGGCTGAGTACAAAGGAATGGGGAGCTTTGGCTCATGGCTGTGGAGGTCTCCATCAGTCACTAATGGACCAACTCATCCTGTTGCCTCTGTTCTGGATTACCAACAGGTGACAGTTCTGCTTCCCCCAAGTCACAGTGACAGGAGGCAGGAGAGGCTGAATGTCTCTTCTGGCAAAAGCACTGGAAAAGCACATCCTGAACTCCCCCGTCTCTCAGACAAAATTGCCAGAGAAATGCACCCGCACAGGTGGAAAAATGTTAATTTCCTGCAGGATGTCCAAGAGATGATGGCAAGGCTGAAGCCAAGGCCGGAGCAAGGAAGTCCCTCCAAGAACAGAGGGAAGTGGTGGGAACATGCGCTAAAGCTCTGAGAAAGTCCAGCGATTTGCACTGGGGAGGCAGCTCTCCCTCCTCTGCACCAGCACCCTCTGCATCCCCCCAGGCTGTGCTTTTTGCTGGTCCTTGGCAGGACAAGAAGGGCATTAGCAGCCCTCTTCCCTGCACTCACCTCTTCCTCCTTTCGCAAGCTGTCGGGCTGTGCCAGCCGGAACAGACAGTCATAAACGGGGTTCACCAGAGCCATCATGGGCATGTTGTTCACCTGTAAGGAGGCAGGAGCCATTGCCAGTTTGGGGCCAGAAAGGGAGCAGTCTGCAGCTATTTTAAATAGTGGTTCCCTTGCTGCTCTTCAAAGGAGAAGGGAGCAGAATTTAGTTGTGCTGCCAAATGCCATATTGGTAGGATTTACGTAGGAGACCAGATATTCGAGTCTCCAGGAGCCAGAGAAGCTGAACAAATGATGTAAAAAACATCTATTTTTAAATGTAAGCAGGTAGTCATGGGAAATACACTGGTTGCAACAGCATTTTTCCTGCCTGCAGCTCTGCTTGCATCATTTTTACATCTATCCCAAGCAGGCATCCAAGTATACACACTGCAGCAAAGGCTTGCAGACAAACTCCGTCAGTACGTGGGCTAGAAATTATGTGAGCACCCACGGGTCCCCCCCGGGACCTCATAGCAACTAAACCAGTTCAATCTGGGACATTTGGGAGCAGGCAAATCAGGGGATTTCAAACACCAGGTACAAAACGAGGAAGTTCAGACTTTGTGACTGTTCCCAGAGATGGCTCTGCCTTTCCAAGCCTGGTAGCTTGCCTGTAAGTAGCACCAGCCCCGGCAGCATTCTCATGCTGAGAACCAGCTCTGGGCCCCACTGCCGAGCCATGGCCCTGGGGCTCTGTACAACACCCATCCAACACCCTTGCCCTGGCATCTTCGGATACCCAGGCCCTTCTGGCACCCCTAGGCAGCAGCAGCTGGGTGCTCCTGCTTTGGCTCCTTACCCTCAGGTAGTCAAAGATGTTGCAGATGAAGGTGACGTAGCAGATCCACGCCTGGAGCGAGCGGGTGCGCAGCTCCTCCCTGTCCTTGTACTCCTGCTGCAGCCGGTTGAGCAGGCTCCTCCGGAAGATGCTCTGGCCGACTTGTTTGCTCTCTGCCTACGAGCCCACAAAAGCAGGATGGAGGGATGAAATGGGGGTGTGAGAGGGGCAGGGGGATGCTGCTACTTGGGTGATGCTGGACAACGTAGATAACCCTCCTGTGATTGCCCAGAGAGGCAGGAAAGCCGCAACTAACTGCCTGTGCTCGCCGGCTGCTCGTTTGGATGCTGCCACTGCACGGGGCAAACGGCAGAAGAGGAAAGCTGGCTGAAGGGCCAGAGCGCAGGGCTGGGACGAAGCCTCTCCTGGCCCAGCCTAGGGACAAGCTTAAGTGTTTCGCTGTCTGGACACGAGGAGGTCTCACCTGGATGATGGTGTAGCAGATGCGCCCTGCCTCCTTGCTGAACACACAGTCTTTGAGTGACTGGTCCACTATAATATTGGCCACTTTTTCCAGGTCCACGTTGCTGGGGTCTGCAGAGAGGAGAAACACAGTCAGGACCCAGCACCCTTTGTGTCCTGCTTGCTTTGGGGTACCTGGAAAGCAACCAAGGTCGGTGCAGGGCCTGCTACAACCATGTTATCTGGTACAAAACCTCATGTTCACTCTCACATCAAGAGTCACAGCCCCTCTCGTACGCCAGCTACTTTTGAGATACCATCTCCAACGGTGCATAGTCCTCCCAGGCTGGAGACACAGCCATCACGATGGGAAAGCGATGGAGGAAAGCAGATAATACGGGAAGCAAGAAGTTGATCTGAATCTGAAATCCCAGCACTGCTTCAAAGTTGGGTTAGTGGAAGGCAGATGTGCAAACTCCTGCTGGGCTTTGAATAGAGAGACATGACCAGTGAGCAGGAGACCCCGGAGGCCAGGAGGACGAGACAGCCTCACAGTCAGGAGGGGCAGAGAGCAGGAGCTAGGCACTGGAGAGGGGCGAGAGACCACATCTGGGGAGAGATGCTGGGTTAGAGCAGGAGAGGACGGTACCCCGAAATCAGAGAAAACCCCAATGATGAGAACCAGGAGCTGAGTTTGAACAGCTGCACCATTAAACATTGGGGAGAAGGTGAGAGAGGGCAAGAAGAGGCAGGGAGCAAAGACCTTCCAGAAGAAGATTCACCAACGGGACCCAGTCAGGGATGAACAGCGTTTATGAAACAGCTTTTCTACACTTAGCAGTTGGTGTTCCTTAAATGGGTCCAAGCATCCAGTCTCATCTGCCAGCCAAGCTGCATGTGGCAGAGGAGCCAGTAAAAAGCCTGCTGACCTTTGAGGGCTGTTTTCAGCAGCTTCTGAGTCTCAGTGTCGAACGACTGTATTTTATACTCTTCTTTACCAGTTTCCCCCATGACTGGCTTCCTCCAAGGGCAAGAGTCAGGCCAACGGATGGGCTAGTGACAGTCCCTGGGGAAAGAGCACACAGAGCTTAGTTGGGCAGAGAGGCAGACCTTCACCCAGCCATTTGGCAAATCCCATCTAGTGCTGGAGCACAGGCTGTTGTCCTGACAGCCCCCCACCCCAAGGAAACTCCTCTGTTATTAGGGTACCCAACTCTGGCCCTAGATCTGAGCAAAGCCTCACTCCCACATCTTTTTAAGACTTGCTTCCTACCAGCCTATGATAGGGCTTCATCTTCAGAGCCTTTACATTTTTCTGATATGAGAAATGCGTTTCAGTCTGTTGATCTGCAGGTTCAAAGTGGACAGCAACCTCAAAATATACCGATCTTCCCTCAGACAGCTTCCCTGTGGGTATATCACAGGGAAGCACACGCAGGAGCACCCCATGCAGCTGCTCCTTTTCGCCTTTGAAACACCAATTCAGCTGGTTTCACACAAAAGCTTGGGAAGAATCAAAACCAGCACCTAAGCATCCAACGCACGCTCGCCAGAATGAGCAGAGCACCTCTCCTGTGCCGGAGCCAGGTTCCCTCAACTCCCAGCGAGACACAGCAAGCTCTGCAGCCAAATCCCCAACAGCAACAGCTCCCGTCTCATCCCCCTGCAGTCAAGCACAGCTCTCTGCAGTACCAGCGGTCTCTAGATTAATTTTCTTCTCTTTTTTGATACAACGAAGGCAGCAAGAGGGTACACGCGGCACAGAGAGGAAAGGCTTTCTTTGGTGCGCACGCATGATCTGCTGGATGCAAAATGCTGGGCTGGCCAGACCCACAGCACAAACAGGAGAAGGCAATCGGCCAACTGAGTTTTGCCAGCTCATCAAAATTCCTGGGCCGTTACTCACCCCTCTGTGCAAACAGGTCCCTACCCGGCTTAAAGCCGGAGAGCCCGTCGCCCATTA